CTCTTGAATGTTGACTGGCTAAACAATGAAGTGAAGGCAGAAATAAAGATGTTCTTCAAAACCAATGAGAATGAAGATACAATGTACCAGAATCTCTGGGACACATTTAAAGCAGTGTCTGGAGGAAAATTTATAACAATAAATGCCCACGAGAAGCAAGCAAAGATCTAAAATCGACTCCCTATCATCAAAATTGAAAGAGCTAGAGGAGGAAGATCAAAAAAACTTAACAGCTAGCAGAAAACAAGGAATAACTAAGATCAGAGCAGAACCGAAGGAGATAGAGACACACAAAACCCTTCCAAAAAAAAAAAAAAAAAAAATCAATAAATCCAGGAGCTGGTTTTCTGAAAAGATCAACAAAATAGACCACTAGCCAGATTAATAAAAAAGAAGAGATAAGAATCAAATAGATGCAAAAAAAAAAAAAAAAAAAAAAAGAAAACCAGAAAAAAATAAAGGGGGTATCACCACTGATTTCACAGAAATACAAATTACCATCAGAGATTACTACACAAACAACTCTATGCACACAAACCAGTAAACATTGAAGAAATGGATAAATTCCTGGACACTTGCATCCTCCAAAGCATAAACCAGGAAGAAGTCAAAACCCTGAACAGACCAATAACGAGGACTGAAGTTGAGGGAGGAATTAATAGCCTACCACCTAAACAAAGCCCAGGTCCAGATGGGTTCACAGCCGAATTCTACCAGACATACAAAGAGGAGTTGGTACCACTCCTTCTGAAACTATTCCAAACAGTCCAAAAAGAGGGAATCCTTCCCAAATCATTTTATGAGACCAGCATCACCCTGCACCAAAACCCAGCAGACACACAACAGAACAGAAAACTTCAGGCCAATATCCATGATGAACACAAATACAAAAATCTTCAATAAAATACTGGCAAACCGACTGCAACAGCACATCAAAAACCTTATCCATCATGAGCAAGTAGGCTTCATCCCGGGGGATGCAAGGCTGGTTCAACATACGGAAGTCTATAAATGTAATCCACCACATAAACAGAGCCAAAGACAAAAACCACATGATTATCTCAATAGATAGAGAAGGCCTTTGACAAAATTAAACAGTCCTTTATGCTAAAAACTCTCAATAAACTAGGTATAGACGGAACATATCTCAAAATAATAAAAGCTATTTATGACATATCCACAGCCAGTATCATACTGAATGGGCAAAAAAAATGGAAGCATTCCCTTTAAAATCTGGCACTAGATAAGGATGCCCTCTGTCACGACTCCTATTCAATATAGTATTGGAAGTTCTAGCCAGAGCAATCAGGCAAGAAAAAGAAGTAAAGGGTATTCCATTAGGAAAGGAGGAAGTCAAACTGTCTCTGTATTTGCAGACAACATGATTGTGTATTTAGAAGATCCCATCCTCTCAGCCCAAAAGCACCTGAAACTGATTAGCAACTTCAGCAAAGTCTCAATATACAAAATCAATGTGCAGAAATCACAAGCATTGCTACACACCAACAACAGATGAAAGAGAGCCAAATCAAGAACAAACTCCCATTCACAATTGCTACAAAGAGAATAAAATATCTAGGAATACAACTAACAAAGGAGGTAAAGGACCTCTTCAAGGAGAGCTACAAACTACTGTGCAAGGAAATAAGAGACGACACAAAGAGATGGAAAAATATTCCATGCTCATGGTTAGTAAGAATCAATATTATGAAAATGGCCGTACCACCCAAAGTAATTTACAGATTAAACGCTATCCTCATCAAGCTACCTATGACCCTCTTCACAGAACTGACAAAAACCACCTTAAACTTCATATGGAACCAAGAGAGAGCCCGCATAGCCAAGACAATTCTAAGCAAAAAGAACAAAGCTGGAGGCATCACACTACCTGATTATCTCGCTACCTGACTTCATACTATATTACAAGGCTAAAGTAACCAAAACAGCATGGTACTGGTACCAAAACAGAGACACAGACAAATGGAACAGAACAGAGGCCTCAGAGGCAACGCCACACATCTACAACCAACTGATCTTTGACAAACGTCATAAAACAAGCAATGGGGAAAGGATTCCCTGTTTAATAAACAGTGATGGAAAAACTGGCTAGCCATATGCAGAAAGCAGAAACTGGACCCTTTCCTGACACTTTACACTAAAATTAACTCCACATGGATTAAAGACTCAAACATAAGACCTAACACCATAAAGATCCTAGAAGAAAATCTAGGCAAAACCATTCAGGACATAAGCATAGGCAAGGACTTCATGACTAAAACACCAAAAGCATTGGCAACAAAAGCCAAAATAGACAAATGGGACCTAATTACACTCCAGAGTTACTGTACAGCAAAAGAAACAATCATCTGAGTGAACCAACAGAATGGGAAAATTTTTTGCAATATACCCATCTGACAAAGGGCAACATCCAGAATCTACAAATAACAAACAGATTTACAAGAAAAAAACAAACAAACCCATGCAAAAGTGGGCAAAGGACACTTTTCAAAAGAAGACATTTATGAAGCCAACAAACATATGAAAAAATGCTCATCATCACTGGTCATTAGAGAAATGCAAATCAAAATCACATGCAGATACCATCTTGCGCCAGTTAGAATGGCGATCATTCAAAAAATCTGGAGACAACGGATACTGGAGAGGATGTGGAGAAATAGAAACACTTTTACACTGCTGGTGGGAGTGTAAATCAGTTCAACCATTGTGGAAGACAGTGTGGTGATTCCTCAAGGACCTAGAAATAGAAATTCCATTTGACCCAGCAATCCCATTACTGAGTATCTATCCAAAGGATTATAAATCGTTCTACTATAAGGACATATGCACACAAATATTCATTGCAGCACTGTTTACAATAGCAAAGACTTGGAACCAACCCAAATGCCCATCGATGATAGACTGGACAGGGAAAACGTGGCACATATACACCATGGAATATTATGCAGCCATCAAAAATGATGAGTTCGTGTCCTTTGTAGGGACATGGATGAACCTGGAGACCATCATTCTCAGCAAACTGACACAAGAACAGAAAATGAAATACCACATGTTCTCACTCATAGGTGGGTGTTAAACAATGAGAACACATGGACATGGGTAGGAAGCACTACACACTAGGGTCTGTTGGGGGGAATAGGGGAGGGACAGTCGGGGGGTGGGGAGTTGGGGAGAGATAGCATGGGGAGAAATGCCAGATATAGGTGAAGGGGAGGAAGGCAGCAAATCACACTGTCACGTGTGTACCTATGCAACTATCTTGCATGTTCTTCACATGTACCCCAAAACCTAAAATGCAATTTAAAAAAAAGGAAAAAATAAAAATTTTTTAAAAACAAAAAAAAAGAAGACATTTATGAAGCCAACAAACATATGAAAAAATGCTCATCATCACTGGTCATTAGAGAAATACAAATCAAAACCACATTGAGCTACTATCTCACTACAGTTAGAATGGTGATCATTAAAAAATCTGGAGACAGATGCTGGAGAGGATGTGGAGAAATACAAACACTTTTACACTGTTGATGGGAGTGTAAATTAGTTAAACCATTGTGGAAGACAGTGTGGCAATTCCTCAAGGATCTAGAAATAGAAATTCCATTTGACCCAGCAATCCCATTACTAGGTATATATCCAAAGGATTATAAATCATTCTATTATAAAGACACATGCTGGGATTACAGGAGGTCAAGAGATCGAGACCATCCTGGTCAACATGGTGAAACCCCGTCTCTGCTAAAAATGCAAAAAAATTAGCTGTGCATGGTGGCACGTGCCTATAATCCTAGCTACTCAGGAGGCTGAGGCAGGAGAATTGCCTGAACCCAGGAGGCGGAGGTTGTGGTGAGCCGTGATCGCGCCATTGCACTCACGCCTGGGTAACGAGTGAAACTCCATCTCAACAAAGAAAAAAGACACATGCACACATATGTTCACTGCAGCACTGTTTACAATAGCAAAGATCTGGAACCAATCCAAATGCCCATTGATGATTACTGGACAGGGAAAATGTGGTACACATACACCCTGAATATTATGCAGCCATGAAAAATGATGAGTTCGTGTCCTTTGTAGGGACATGGATGAATCTGGAAACCATCATTCTCAGCAAACTGACACAAGAACAGAAAAACAAACACTGCATGTTCTCACTCATAGACAGATGTTGAACAATGAGAACTCATGGACAATGGGAGGGGACATCACACCCTGGGGTCTGTTGAGGGGGAATAGGGCATGGACATCGGCGGGTAATGAGGTGAGGGAGGGATAACGGGGAGAAATACCACATAAAGGTGACAGCGGGATGGAGGCAGCAAACCACATTGCCATGCATGTACCTATGTAACAATCCTGCATGTTTTGCACATGTACCCCAGAACCTAAAGTGCAATAAAAAAAAAATTTAAAAAGAAAAAAAGAATACTAAAGAAAAAAAAAAGTTGCTTTTTTTTTTTTTTTTTTTAAATGGAGACCGGGTTTCAACATGTTGGCCAGGATGGTCTCCATCTCTTGACCTTGTGATCAGCCCGCCTCGGCCTCCCAAAGTGCTGATTACAGGTATGAGCCACCATGCCCGGCCAAAAGTTGCCTATTTCTAAAATTACAAATAATCCCATCACGATCTTTAAATTTGTTGTGATTTTGTCTCTGAACAGTCCTAAATCTGTTTCACTGAATAAACTGTTCAGAAATAGTCAAATTAACAAGGGTGAACCAACAGGTAAAATACAAGATTGAAATTACTAATTAAGACTGCCCTTTAAAAAAAAAGTCGGTTTGGCCCGGCGCAGTGGCTCAAGCCTGTAATCCCAGTACTTTGGGAGGCCAAGGCGGGTGGATCACGAGGTCAAGAGATCGAGACCATCCTGGTCAACATGGTGAAACCCCGTCTCTCCTAAAAGTACAAAAAATTAGCTGGGCATGGTGGCGCGTGCCTGTAATCCCAGCTACTTGGGAGGCTGAGGCAGGAGAATTACCTGAACCCAGGAGGCGGAAGTTGTGGTGAGCCGAAATCGCGCCATTGCACTCCAGCCTGGGTAACAAGAGTGAAACTCCATCTCCAAAAAAAAAAAAAAGTCAGTTTTCCCTTAGCTTTCTATTGATAATTACTTACACCTTCTATGTAGCTTGTTTGCCACATAACCTCCCCTGTTTGGGGATTTTTTTTGGGGGGAAGGGGGTGTAAAAATGTTAGCCAACAGCCTTTATCAGTAACAACACAACCATCCAAGATCCAGGAAACTCTTCAAGCATATCTCAGAAGAGTTTACAGCTATGGGGGGAAAAAAAAGTGGAAGAGAACACGAAGGAGTCCCTCGGGCTCCTCGTCACCTTTTGTGCCTTTCCACTTTCGCTGGGTCATAACTGCCCTCTGGTGCCCCAACCCTTTAAAGCCTCAGCCCGTTCTAGGTAGCAACACTGAGCAGCCCAGATGCTCTCACAGTATTGGATTTCCTGAGTGGGGGATGGTTTTTAAAAGCCAAGCAAATTCCTAAGAGGATGCATTTCAGGACCGCCAGCTTTCCAGTGGCCTGGGAGCTTGTAAAGGAAAAGGCAGGCAGAAGAGCCGACCGAGATCCCAACAGTCCAGGGGTTTTTGCCACATGTAGTGGGGAAGTGGAAGAGAGGTGTCTGGGAATGGAGGCTGCAGCGGGCAATGCTCCTTTGAAGCTCAGCTGTGCCTACTCATAGATCATCCAACCGCACGGACAGGAGTGGCCTGCCGGTCCAGTGCCCGAGGTTCACAGCGCAAACACGTGGGTTATAAGAATGTCCCAAGGCCGTTGCCCTGGCCAGCCTGTGGAGCAGCCGCTGCGACAAAGTCAGGCCACCCCTGAGACTGTGCTGTCGGTGAACCAAGGATCCCCGACGTGAGGAGGATTTCGAGGAGAAAAACACATGACCGCCCTCAGCTGAATCGGATCCTCCAGATGCCCTGACGTTCCAGGTGCCTGCGCCGCGGTCACTGGCTGGAAGCGCAGCCGCTCCTTGCCCCGCTCCAGGCTCCTTGGCGACGGCCTCTCCCGCGGCGGCCGCCTCCTGTCCAGGGCCACTGTCTGGGTTCCTCCCTGCCTGCGGAGACTGTCTGGGGCTCCTCAGTGAGCGAAGCCACCTCGCCCTCCTCAACCTCCCGCAGCGGCAGCCCCAAGCCATGGGCCTCCTGCCCCCAAGCTCCCCGGGCCTCAGCCTGGGCCTCGCGGTCCTAGTCCTCGGAATGCGGCAGTCGGGGCACCTTCCTCGCCGACGTCTCTCCCTCCTCTGGGCCTGGAAGCCGCGCCGGGGGCGGCCCTGCTCTGTCCGATGCCCCGTCCTCTAGCTCCCCCGCCGTGGCCCCGGGACCCTTCAGGAAGACGGTGACGCGGAGCGAGGCCAGGGCGAGTACAGGGCGACGGTGCGCGGGGAGCGTGGGCGCCGCTCTGGGGGCTGCCCCGCTCCGGGCCCCAACGGGCCGGCGCTGGAGGAAGAGCTGCCGCCGGTTGTGCCTTCCGCGCCGGGGCCTCGGGGTCGCGGGTCGTGCACTGCAGCGTGTCGGTCCCCCGAGCTCTGCACTGGCGTGGATGCGCGGGCTCCCTGCACTGCCACGTCGAGCTGTCGGCTGCACCTGCCCAGAAGGGCCACGAGGTGCGCCAGCGGGGAGCTGTGGAAGTCCTTGGCGGCCGCCAGCTGCCCGAAGCCCAGGAAGGATGAGGCTGCGCTCGCCGAGAGGGGGAAGGAAGACAAGGCTGCGGGAAGGCAAGTCCCCGCCGCGCCCCTGCCCTTGGTGGCCGCCAGACTGGGGTAAGGATGCAAGAAGGGAGTACATTCTGCTACAGTGTAATAAAGCACGTCTGGATTGCCATATATAAAAAGACAACAACATTAATGTAACTGCATAAATGCTATAAGCTAAATAAAAATGCTATTAGCAACTAAATATTTTAAGCACTCATGTTAGAACTGTGTAACTTTAAATGCAAGAAAAAAGTGCTTAAGACATTCTAAGTCTAATCACTAGACAGAAAATTACAACAAAATCTTTCCTCGTTTGTTAATAAAAGTGGAAATGAAAAGAAAAACGAGGCATTAATAAACTATAAAGAATGGAATAACCATCTGGTTTACAACTGGTAGTGTCAACAAGGTAAGTCTTGCAACTTCTTTTATACCACAGCACCACCAAGTGGCAGAAAGACAAACTGTAATTCTAGCTGAATACTATCATTCAAAAATGGCCACTGCTACAGACTAAATTATGTATCGCCACCTAAAAATTCATCTGTTGCAGCCCTAACCCGAAATGTAACTGTATTTGGAGATAGGGCTGTGAGGAAGTAATAAAGAGATCCATAAGGGCAGGGACCTAATCTGATAGGGCTGGTGCCATTTTTACAAGAAGAGGAAGAGACACCAGACGCAGGAAGGCCTTGAGAGCACTCAGCAAGGTATTAATCTGTAAGCCACATTGCTCTTGGCGTTCCCAGCCTCCAGAACTGTTGCAAAATAAATTTCTATTGTTTAAGTCACTCAATCTGTGATATTTTGTTATAATAGCCACAGCAAACTAAAAGAGCAACACTTCACCCTAATCCCAAACTATAATACTAGGTCATTTAAAAAACAGTAAAAGTCAAACTTGCCTTTAAAAATTATAATCCAAAAATTTACTGAAATTGAAGTTCCTTGGTCAGCTATAAAAGGATGTCATGGAGATCAAAAAGAATGTTTAGAGGTTAAGATTAACTTTTATTATAAAAAAGAAAAAATTTTCCCTGGAATTAAGAAACTATGCTTCCTCAGAATGCCTGTACTTCCCCAAAGCAAGACAAAAACCTAAAATGAAACTGTTTCATTATTCCAACTGATGTAATATCCTCTTCCTACCTGGACAACCACCTTACTGCTGTAAAATCAGTCTAATTCCATGTACAGCACTACAATCAATCCCTCTAAGTAGGATACTATTGATTTCTATTTTGTCCTTGCTTATGAGCAAGAGAACTACCAAGTTTGTGGATATAAAAGGGAAAACTTACAAATGCTCCATCTCATTTCCTACCCTTTATACCAAGAAAAGCTCTTCGGGTATGTGGCAATTCCTCACCTTCTCTTTCTATTTTAAGGGGTGTGAACTGATCTTCATTTACTCATAGACAACAGCTTCGTCTATAGGCTGTTGTAAATAATAGCATGGGCAACTTGTTCCATATCATATTTAAAATACAGCATTTTCAATCTTTTTTTAATCCCATTCCAAAGTGAATAACCCCTAATGGTTTTTCTATAATAAATAACCAACCACCAGCAGTTAAAAAAATTTTAACTATTATCCCTCATTAATAGTTACATCCAAACTTAAAGTAAGCAGTAAACACTCAAGGCAATAAACTAACAAAACATGCCACAAACTCCATATTACCATTTCAAAAAGTCTTAAATTCAAATCACTAACACCTTAGTTTTTTTCCTTAAAGATATTACCTCTAAAGGATTTGACTGAATCTCCTTAAAGGTCTTTATAGCTTATAGAGGTTAAGTGACTAAAGTCTCTAGGGTACTGGGTAACAAAATCTATCCTAGAACAAAAATCTTTCAACTCCTAGGCCAATCTGCTTTCCTTTATTTCATACTTCCTATTAGTTCTACTTCTCAAATCTCAAGAATACATAATTGTACAACAAATGATAAATTGTGTGATACACAGTAAGAAATTAATAATACAGTAAACAATCCATCACAAGGTATTACATAATTAATGCCACATGAATAGTAAAGACAGTAACTGCTACTGAAATTCAGAGACTACTATTTGCTACAGCTAATTGGTAAGATTTTAAAATAGAATTCTATGTAAGAATGAAGGCTGGGCACGGGGGCTGATGCCTATAATCCCAGCACTTTGGGAGGCTGAGGCAGGAAGTTCACTTGAGCCCAGAAGTTCAAGACAAGCGTGGGCAACATAGTGAGACCCCCATCTCTAAAAAATAAAAATAAATAAATAATTAAAAAATTAGCCAGGCCTGGTGGCATGCAACTGTGGTCCCAGCTACTTGGGAGGCTGAATCAAGAGGATTGCTTGAGCCCAGGAAGTCGAGGCTACAGTGCACTATGATCACGTCACTGCACTCCAACCTGAATGACAGAACAAGATCCTGTCTCAAAAAAAAAGAAAAGAAAGAAAAAAAAAGAATGAACTTCAAAGAACATCCATTCCAAACTTCATTTTAAGAAACTAAAGCCTCACCAGGCACAGTGGCTCATGCCTGTAATCCCAACACTTTGGGAGGCTGAAGAGGAGGAATCACTTGGTTCAAAACCAGCCTGGGCAACATAGTGAGACTTCACCTCTACGAAAAAAAAAAAAAAAATCAAAAATATTAGCTAGGCATAGTGGTGCATGCCTGTAGTCCAGCTACTTTGGAGGCTGAGGCAAAAGGATCACTTCAGCCCAGGAGGTTAAGGCTGCAGTGAGCTATAATGGTGCCACTGGACTCCAGCCTGGCAACAAAGGGAGATCCTATACCAAAAATAATATATGATGTGTGTGTATATTTATACACACACACACACACAGACACAGAGCTAGATATATATACAAGCACACACATATATATGGAAAAAGAGAGACAGACAGAGAAAAGAAACTTAAGCCCTATACACAGAGTTAGCTGGTGGCAGTGGCAGTCCTCCAGGGAAAAGGGATTTAAGCTGGGATTTGAAACGTATCTAGATAGGAGCTGAACAGGAAGGAACAAGAGAGGACATTCCAGGTAGAGAAATAACAGCAAAAATTTAAAGGCCGAAACAAACCAAGTTCAAGCGACAGAGAATAAATTGTTTTGACTGAGAATGCAATAAATTCAGAAATTGTTAATATTTCTGTTGGGGAAAGGAGACAGTTTAAATAATTAAAGAATTAAACTTGAGCTAGGCACGGTGGCTCATGCCTGTAATCCCAGCACTTTGGAAGGCTGAGGCAGGTGGATCACGAGGTCAAGAGATCGAGACCATTCTGGTCAACATGGTGAAACCTCGTCTCTACTAAAAATACAAAAAAATTAGCTGGGCATGGTGGCGCGTGCCTGTAGTCCCAGCTACTCAGGAGGCTGAGGCAGGAGAATTACCTGAACCCAGGAGGCGGAGGTTGCAGTGAGCCAAGATCGCGCCATTGCACTCCAGCCTGGGTAACAAGAGTGAAACTCCATCTCAAAAAAAAAAAGAATTAAACTTGATCCTATAGGCAGTGGAAATCTTGAGTAGGTTTTCAGCAACAATTTAAATTTCTTAGAAAAGCCCAAATTGTGCATTTGCCTGAAAGCTAAGATTACAAACACAAAACAAGAACTGTAATAGCCAAAATGTTTCACCAAGTGCAAATCTAATTCTAAAGGGAAAGGTGGGAAAAATATCATCATAAAGGGAACAAAATACAAAATGGACAGTAAAAAAACGGGAACAGGTAAGAGAAGAATAAATCAAAAGAGATGCAGATAAAAGAATCAACAGTGTTGTCAAAAAATTTAAGTTACTTCATGCACTCAAGTTCTGGAAAGAGTTAAGACAGTCCAAAGAAGTAAGTCTGTATGGCTAAAAAAAAAAAAAAAAAAAAAAAAATTCAGAGGCTAACAGCCAATTTACTGTGTATCACATTGGAGTAACTTACCTCTCTAGCAGCACAATCATGAGGAGCTTCTTCTTTATTTACTTTTCCTTTTGGAAATCCCCAGCCTGATTTTGCTAGGTACCCCTGAACCAGTAGTACCTACAAAACAAACAGAGGTAAAAATCAAATTTGCCCTCCTTTTCCATGCTCCTTTCTAAAAACCCAAGGCATTTTTCTTCTTACTTGAGGTAACTGTTATCGCCAATAATTTTACAGAGTATTTGGTTACACAATATCTTCCGTGAGTCTGAATATACCACCACTACAGTGAAAGCATTCTGCTTATTTCAAAACGTATTTCTTCAACAATAAAGCGACACTTTTTTGTACTACACCATAACTGCAACAAGTAAAAAATGTGGAGACTAGCATGCAGATAAAATATATAAAACCTGGCCTTTTAGCATTAAAAATCTTAGCATATTTTAAAGCCTCAATTTAGAACACTACATAAATAAGAAATTTTGTTAGCAGACTAACAATCACCATTTAATAAAAATCTTTATTTTATTACACTCACATTTTCAAGTGTCTCATCAAGAATAATTGCACCATATGTTGGTACTCCCATTTTATATTCCTTCCATTCATCCAAAACTTTTTCCACATCTTCACCTTGAGGCAGCAAAAACGGACAATGACTGAAGAGTATAAAGTGTCAAGGAAGTTACTTTCTCCCTAATATGGTTTGAGAAATTATATACAGAAAGAGACCTATTTAAATCAATAGTGTATTTTATGTGAAATTAATTTTCCCTCATTTAAGTGCAGCATTTTGGCTGGGCATGGTGGCTCACGCCTGTAATCCCAGCACTTTGGGAGGCTGAGGCAGGTGGTGTTTTTGTTTTTTCCACATTTGTTTTCTCTTAAAAAGTCATTGTTAACTTTTGTGTTTATAGCCTACACACAAATCAAGTAAGTTTTGAGTACTCACTGTCCTGGATCCCTGAGTTAACACAAATGAATTCTGGACCATGTAAACACCTAGAACACTTCTCCATCAAGTGAGTCAAATTCATAATACCAGGTAGTTAGAGATACTAATGTGTTAAGAAGAAACAGAGGTACATACATAAAGTGATAGCAAGAAACAGAAGAAAATATATTGCTAAGAGAAGGAAACTATTATATCAGAAAATAAAGTGATTAATTCTGGGAAGGAGAAGTACAGATGAGGTATGCCGTTCTATACTGTTTACCACATAATATTGTTTTCATAATGAAGAACACTTTTACGAAGTTTTACTTTAAGGATTACAGAGAGGCAAATCTAGTTATTAAGGAAAACAGCCAGTTTCAAAGAAACTAGGCATGCTTCCCTCTAAAAGTGGGCACTGTAAAAGATTAATAAAGGAAGTAAAATCTAAACCCAGAAATTATATGCTCAGACTCCAACACTACAGGCTATCAAATGCCTCATGACTATAATACTGTTAATTATAAAAAATGGAGTGAAGTAAATAATGTATAATAGTATCTCTCAAACTGAGGTCACACTTTTAAGGGTTCTCAATGCTTCAGTAAAAACTTGTATACTCAGCCAGGTGTGGTGGCTCATGCCTATAATCCCAGCATTTTGGGAGGCCAAAGTGGGCGGATCACAAGGTCAGGAGTTCGAGACCAGTCTGACCAATATGGTGAAACTCTATCTCCACTAAAAATACAAAAATTAGCTGGGCGTGGTGGCATGCGCCTGTAATCTCAGCTACTCAGGAGGCTGAGACAGGAGAATCGTTTCAACCTGGGAGGCAGAGGTTGCAGTGAGCCAAGATCACACTACTGCACTCCAGCCTGGGCAACAGAGGGAGACGAAGGAGGGGAAGAGGGGAGGGAGAAGGAAGGGAAAGGAGGGGAGGGAGAAGGAAGGGAAAGGAAGGGAGGAAGAAAGGGGGGAAGGCAGGAAACAAAGAGGGCGAAGAAACACAGCAAGTGCTGTTTTCCCCATGTGGTGTGGGGTTGCGCATGATCATAGTTGCAACACTAGAAAGATGGCAGTGCAAGAACAAAGAAAAATTCCTTTGATTGCAGAAAATCTCCTGAAAAAGAGGAAGGCTCACCAAGCCCTCAAAGCCACCCAGGCAAAGCAGCCACTTTTGGCAAAAGAGGAGCAGAGGAAAAGAAAAGGGCTCAGGTTTAAGAGACTGTAATAACTCCTGTATGATTCCTGGTGGCAGAAACATGACAAGGTGTGCCTCAGATGACAAAAAGTGAAACTTCATGCCTTGGAATTGCCAGATAAAAATTCCTTGGCCTTTGCTATACGCATTGAAAGGATGGATGGTGTGAGTTTACTGGTGCAAAGAACCACTGTAAGACCTAAATAAAATTTTTCACGGTGACTTTTACAGTCACCCCCAGAACCTAAACATGCTGCATATAGTGGAATCTTATGTGACCTGGGGATTTCCAAATCTGAAGTCAGTCCAGGAACTCATTTTGAAATGTAGACAAGCCAAGGTCAAGAATAAGACCATCCCTCTGACAGACAACTCAGTGATTGAGGAACTCCTGGGGAAGTTTGGTGTCATTTGCTTAGAAGACCTCATTCATGAAATTGCCTTCTCAGGGAAGTAATTCCAGGAGATCTCATGGTTCTTGTGCCCATCCCACCTCTCAGGGGCCCCATCATGCTACGAAAAATAGAGTGGGCTTCCTCAAGAAGATGGGCACACCTGGCTATCAGGGTGAACACATCAATCAGCTCATCCGCCATCTCAACTAGACCCAGGTACCAAACTGCAGTAAATTTTTATCAAGTAGAAGCACGTATTTTTGTTTTTTGGGAATTTTTATCAAGTATCTTCAGAGAAGATTATTTCCTGCTTTATCTTCAAAAACTGGAAAGGTAGGGTCTAAGAAAAGACAGTAGCTGGCCAGGCGCGGTGGCTCACACCTCTAACCCCAGCACTTTGGGAGGTTGAGGCGGGATCAGCTGAGGTTGGTAGTTCGTGACCAGCCTGACCAATAGGGAGAAACCCTGTCTCTACAAAAATTGCAAAAATTAGCCAGGCATTGGTGGCACATGTAATCCCAGCTACTCGGGAGGCTGAGGTAGGAGAATCATTTGAACCCGGGAGGCAGCAAGCACCTCTCATCAGAGTCCAGTTCCAAGGAAAAATTCCAGTGTTTTCTACATTGGCTGCCACCTCGTGTGAAATCAGCACATTCCACAGAGGAAGGAGTCCTGCTTTATTTCATCTATCCTAGGGTTTAATGTTGGTAAATTAGTAACTCTAGCATTTGTACAAGGCTCCCTAAGACTCCTGTAGCAGTTGACCAGGCCCAAGGATTTAACTGAATCTGGAGATTCCTGGGGCCTTGTTTTGAAAAAGACTTGAAATACACGTAGGAAGAAAGGCACAAAAATAAATGTTTATTTGTCTCCGCTATGGGAAAAAAAAATTGTATACTCCATGTTTTCATTCTGATATTCATGCAATCTGAGCATATTTTCAGTTATCTAGATGACCACATGTATCAAATACTACCACTTGATTTCAGAGACCATATTGTTACTAGCACTACTTTAACTGCTACAGACTATTAAAAACAGAAATAAACCTAATATACAAATGATGCATTATGATCAAATGACATACAACGTAACACAGAAAGGAATGTTTTATAACAGATGGAGCAAGAAAGGTGGCATTAATACAGGTATACCAAACTCAAAACACCCTCAAAGTCATCAGCATTAATATTCATTCACATTGTGATGAAAAATGACTTTTTAAAAAAAATCACATCAAATTCATTAATTTGAATTTTATTTGTTCTACAGTTCTGTAATTTAAAATTTGTTTCAGTTTTATAGTTGTAGCAAAAATGAAATAGGTCCTCAGAGCCCAAAGCCAGTCAGCCATCTATGACAACACTGTAATTTGGCCGGGTGTGGTGTCTCATACTAATAATCCCAGCATTTTGGGAGGCCAAGAGAGGAGGAACGCTTGAGCCCAGGAGTTAAAGACGAGCCTGGGCAACATAGTGAGACCCTGTCCCTGTAATTTTTTTTTTTTATTAAGACAAGCGCAAAGTTAATCTCAATATAATTAGTTCATGCCTTCATTTGGGGAGGGGAAAAAAAATAAAAGCTTGGATACAGCCAGGCACGGTGGCTCACATCTATAATTCCAGCACTTTGGGAGGCCAAGGTAGGCGGGTCATGAGGTCAGGAGTTCAAGACCAGCTTGACCAACATGATGAAACCCCATCTCTACTAAAAATACCCTAGCACAACTTCAGCCAAGGAGCAAATCTGGGATACCCTTGTCTATATCCACATTGCTGAGTGTTTACTGAAGAAAAAAAAAAAAAAAATCACAAAACTATCCATAACTTACAAAAGAGAAAACAAAGACACAGACAAGTTCCACAATATGAATACACAGCTAGTAAGTGGCAAAGAAAGGATGCTAACTCAAAGGATGCATGGCTCTAGAACTTATGCTCTTATCAAAGTACAGTCTTCTCTACTGCAATATCCCACATGAAACATAAACTCAATTTGCCCACAACTGAACCCATCAATTCCCTACAACATTTCTCATTTTCCTATCAATGGGATGGCACTCTCATACACTCAACTGCTCATACTAGAAACCTGGGTACCATCCTTTCTTCTACTTCTCAGATATCTAAGTCATCACTAATTTTACCTCCTCAATATCTTTCAAATTTGACCTCTTTTATTCATTTCTACTACACCACAGGTTTTCTTTCTCTCTCTAGTAAATATAAAATAGCATGTTAACTAGATTCCCCGAATACAGTCTTGCCTTCCTCCAATTCACTGTTCGCACTATTTCACAGTGGTCTTGCAAAACACCCTTATAGGGAGAAGTTAGCAAATGTGGAAAAATGCTAATAATGGATGAATATGGATTGATATGATGGCGGTTCAGTCATGTGCTTTCACCATCTCTGAAAGTTGAAGTTTTTCCCAAACTAAAAGATATTTTTTAATTTGTATTTTTTTAAGAAGTATGACTCACAAGAGCCCTACATGTTTAAGCCCCTGAATTACTCTGTAGCATCATCTCTTATCTTTCTCATTTAGTCTAAAATACACTAACTTTTTTCACTTCCTCAGATTTTCCTGCCATAAATCACTATCTCAAAGAAGGCTTCTACCTAGCTCCCAAATCTTTTTTACTGAAGTACTAGTTAACATTTATCGACTACTTATTAACTTTATTGATCACTCTGCCAGGTAAATGATTTACATTTACAAATATATTTGCTTCTCAAACTTACCCTTTAAATTAGACACTATTGATAACCTTATTTTTCAGGAGGAAAAATAAGGGGATCCTTGTCTAAGAGAAATTTAAAAATCTGCCCAAGATTTTTCAGTGGCCAAGATGGGAATCAAACTCACAGCCCCCACATCTTAAGTGGATATCCCGCTTCTTGTTCCCACTGAACACTGTGCTTCCCTATCACATCTTACCACACTGCACTATAATCATTTCCTTTCCTGTCTTTGTCTAATCTTCTTGAAGATATTGAGTCCATTCTGTTCACTACATAATGCCTGTCTGTTCACTACATAATGCCTGGCACAGAGTAACCATGCAGCTATTTACTGAAGTGTACCACATTAAACATTCCTTCTCCATATAACTAATCTTAGTTAATTAACTTAAAGGAAACATACCTAGGGCCAGGTGCAGTGGTTCATGCTATAATCCCAGCACTTTGGGAGGCTGAGGCAGGCGGATCACAAGGTCAGGAGTTGGAGACCAGCCTGGCCAATATGGTGAAACCCCACCTCTACTAAAAATACAAAAAAAATTGGCCAGGCATGGTGGCACATGCCTGCAATCCCAGCTACTCAGGAGGCTGAGGCAGAAGAACTGCTTGAATCCAGGAGGCAGAGGGTGCAGTGAGCCGAGATCACACCACTGCACTCCATCCTGGGTGACAGAGCAAGACTCCGTCTCAAAAAAAAAAAAAAAAAACAACAACAACAACAACCTAAAACAAAGGTTCTTGGTGTTTTTGGTTTTTATTTGTTTCTCTGTTTTGAGACGGAGTCTCACTCTGTAACCCAGGCTGGAATACAGTGGTGTGATCTCAGTTCACTTAAACTTCTGCCTCCCAGGTTCAAGCAATTCTCCTGCTTTAGCCTCCCGAGTAGCTAGGACTGCAGGCACGCGCCACCATGTCCAGCTAATTTTTGTATTTTTAGTAGAGACGGGGTTCACCATTTTGGCCAGGACGGTCTCAATCTCTTGACCTCGTGATCTGCCTGCCTCGGTCTCCCAGATTGCTGGGATTACAGGCATAAGCCACTTCTTGGTGTTTTTCAATATCAGGGAAAGTGTAAAACTCATATACAAACACACACAAAATGTTACTGAAAACACTGAAGCATGTAAAGTTGCTCTAGTAGAGCTCTAAGTCCATACAACATGACCAAAGCAAAAGAGGACTTGGTTTTTTTAATGTTTCCATAACTAGATTATAACTCCTGAACACCAGTCTACTATGATTTCTCCAGAGAACCTATCACCAAGGCCTTTAAAAAAGACAGTACTCGATATATTTCTGTTCCCCTTTGATTCCTCATTAACATCCATACATTTAATCAAATGGTTTGACCATTTCTTCCTTTGAAATTTGTCTCGCATCAGTGTTTCCTTTTTACTCCCACTACTATAGCTCACAACCTTATTGCCTTGAATCTCAAGTGATGTAACAGATCAACCAATAAATCTTGGATACCATTTCAAATGATCAGAGCAATATTCTTTACCCTTGCTCAAAAATGTGCTATGGTTAACAGTTAACTATTATAGAACATACACTGTTTCATCCATTTTCTACAGAGCCCTAAGGGTTCCATACTTCATGAAGCTAAAGGAAAGTGATAGGTGGTTGAGAATGAGGGTATTTCAGGTTCCCAATCCCTACTCCAACTCTAGTTTAACCCTGGAGGTAGAGGCTGCAGTGAGCCAAGATCGCACCACAGCACTCCAGCCTGGGCAACAAAGCGAGACTCTGTCTTGGAAATAAATAAAAATCAAAGTGCTTTGGCTCAAGATTTAAGAACCCATACAATCCCATCATCTCTCCATATGACTTTCTAACCATATTATGGCCCATGAGAAGACCTGTTCAATGCAAACTTACTTCTTAAACCTTTTTTCAAATCTCCAATTTTTCTTTATCTAAAACATATTGCCCATTTCTGAGAAGATCCTATAGCTTTGCCTAAAATATTTCCACTATTTTTCCAAATTCTAAAAACATGTACTATCAGAACCATTAGCAATTATTCAATTCTTTGCCTTATGACACAGCTTCTTTTATAATCTTAAATATTCAGGTGAATCTTTCATAACTAATAAATTACGACAAGTTTCTGCCTGGAATGTACATGGGGCAAAAAGCTTATCTGAAGGCAAGGATGACTTTTTTTTTTTTTTTTGAGCTGGAGTGCAGTGGTGCAGTATCAGCTTATTGTAACCTGTACCTCCCAGGTTCAAGCAATCCTCCTGCCTCAGCCTCCAAAGTAGATGAGACCCCAGATTCACGCCACCATGCCCAGATAACTGTTTTGTATTTTTGGTAGAGATGAGGTTTCTCTATGATGCCCAGGCTGGTCTCAAACTCCTGAGTTCTGACAATCCACCAGTCTTGGCCTCTCGAAAGTACTGGGATTACAGGCATGAGCCACCACACCCAGCAAGGACTTCTTATTTGCCACAGAACTAAAAACACTGCTTTAAACATAGTAAACATTCAATAATTATTTAATAAATTTCACTGGGCACAGTGGCTCACACCTCTAATCCCAGCATTTTAGGAGGCCAAGGTAGGAGGATTGCTTGAGGCCAGGAGTTCAAGACTAAGCTGGGCAACAAAGAGAGACCCCCATCTCTACAAAACATTTAAAAAAATTAGCAGGGATGGTGGTGCATGCCTGTAGTCCCAGCTACTCAGAGGCTAGGCGGGAAGATTGCTTAAGCAGGTGTTTGAGACTACAGTAAGCTAGACTCACATCACTGCACTTCAGTCTGAGCGACAGAGCAAGATCCTGTCTCTTAAAAAAAAAGGAAATCAGGCAGTAATCTGATTAAAGATCATCTGGTTACGTGGAGCAGCAAAAGTAAAAGTTACAGAATAGGTAGTCATTAAAAAAAATCAAATGTAATCAGCGTACATTTCAAGGAGTCCTCTGTATAAAAGATTATTAAATTGTGTTTACTGTTTATGTTTGACAATTTTTAGCAATCAAATATGTTTCTCTAATAGTTTTAAAATCTGAAAAGACAAGCAAAAGGAAATTTTGCTAAAATATTTTACTAACAAAAAGACAGTCATTATAGTAATAAAAAGGATATCAGCTTTAGCAAAGTCTCTTATCCCACACTGAGGTAATCCTGATGTGTTCTGCATGTAGAAATCCAAGTAAAACCAATGGGCAAGTTCAATCTGAAAACACACTCGGATTGCATTGTCTCTTTCCTCGCTGGGAATATGCAAAATAAATCGGCTGTCAAAAACAAAACACATACAAAAATTACATTTACAAACTATTAACGATTTATCTTAACCTATTTAAGTGCTTCATACCTGACCCATCAACTTAAAAAAGGGACCAAGAGCAGTACTGTTCAAGGAAACGATTAATATTTGAGGGAAATTACTATGGGGAAGATGAGTCTTAGAGAGAAGACACCAAATGTATCTCACTTTTAATACAATTTGTTCTGAATCTGTGGATCCTCTGTTCACAAATACAGAGATAAGCTTAAGAGCTCACTAACAAAAGTGAGCAAGAAAAACTCCACTTCCTTTCATGTCTGGCAACATTTCCAAGAACACAAGTCAATATATTCATAAAATTACATTTTAAAATGTTTGCTACTACATAATCTTCACATATAAAACATTACCAAGAAATACTGGATTAAAAAAACCAATATTCTGTTGCTCATTAATACACTAGACTTCCCAAAGAGCCTCATCTGCAGAGCCTCTAACTTTCAAATATATTCATTTTTGAAAACCCTAAATTGTCTTTTCCATGTACAATGAGGAAAGGAGGGAAAGACATTTCTTTTACATATAAATACACAGTATATTGCATGTACACATATGTAATTAAGATAATAAACCCCTTTATTATGAAACATACAAGTTAAAATTCATCAACTTACAACAGTCATTAAGCAGTTATCAATTACTTTTTCCACTGTTAAGCATTTTTGGTAATCCCTTTTCCCAGTAACCGTTAGGGACAGACTAAAGTCCACTGGTTTTTAGAGTCATTTTTTAAAATTAAAAATAATGGCCATGCATGGTGGCTCATGCCTATAATCCCAGCACGATGGGAGGCCGAGGCAGCTGGATCACGAGGTCAGGAGATCAAGACCATCTTGGCCAACAAGGTGAAACTCTGTCTCTACTAAAAATTAGCCAGGCGTGATGGCACACACCTGTAGTCCCAGCTACTCAGGAGGCTGGGGCAGGGGAATCACTTGAACCCACAAGAGGCAGAGGTGGCAGTGAGCCGATATCGCACCACTGCACTCCAGCTTAGTGACAGAGCAAGACTCCGCCTCAAAAATACATATATTTAAATAGTACCAACCAATTTGACTGCTTGTTTAATCACTAACACACTAAATAATTGTCAGCTGTTTACAAGTTTCAAATCAAATCTCAAAAATGTACTTTTAAACTATAAAATAAATGTAACATTTTAATAGGAAATGAATGACAGGGCTGTATGTACAGTAATCATCTCGATACAGAACAACTATGGGGAAAAGGAGCTTAGCCTACATATATACTAAAAACAAAAAATGTAACATGTAACTCTTACAGCATTATCTAAGACATAAAAACTTAAATTCTGTTACATGGCATTTGGGATATGGTCCCTGCCCACATGTGTAACCTCTTTTATGACTCTGATGTTCTTTATACCCAGGGACACCTAATTCTCAGAACTATCATAAGTTGCCACCTATGCTCTATCTACTCTCTTCTTTTGCCCATCTAGCAAACTCCTAATTCATCCCTTTGAGATTTACAAACATTATCTCCTTTTTAGTTTTAATTTATTCATGTATTTATTTTTGGAGACAGAGTCTTGCTCTGTTACCCAGGCTGGAGTGCAATGGCGTGATCTCTACTCACTGCAACCTCCGCCTCCCAGGTTCAAGCAATTATCCTGCTTCAGCCTCCCCAGTAGCTGGAATTAAGAGGCATGTGCCACCACACCCAGCTAATTTTGTATTTTTAGTAGAGATGGGGTTTCTCCATGTTGGTCAGGCTGGTCTCAAACTCCCGACCTCAAGTGACCCGCTCACCTCAGCCTCCCAAAGTGCTGGGATTGCAGGTGTAGGCCACCACCCCGGACCTTTATTTTTATTTTATTGTATTTCAATAGTTTTTAGGGAACAGGTGGTTTTTGGTTACATGGGTAAGTTATTTAATGGTTATTTTTGAGATTCTGGTGCACCCATCACCCAAACAGTATACACTGTACCCAACATGCAGGTTTTTTTAATCTTTCATCTCCCTCCCACCCTTGTTTCCATGGTCCCCAAAGTCCAGTACATCTTTTTTTTTTTTTTTTTTTTGAGACAGAGTCTCACTCTGTCACCCAAGCTGTAGTGCAATGGTGCGATCTTAGCTTACTGCAACCTCCACTTCCTGGGTTCAAGTGATTCTCCTGCCTCAGCCTCCCAAGTAGCTGGAACTACAGGCAAGTGCCACCACGCTCAGCTAATTTTTTGTATTTTTAGTAGAGACTGTGTCAGTCAGGATGGTCTCTATCTCCTGACCTCGCGATCCACCTGCCTCGGCCTCCCAAAGTGCTGGGATTATAGGCATGAGTCACGGTGCCCGGCCACATTATATCATTCTTATACCATTGCATCCTCACAGCTTAGTTCCCACAAACATTATTTATTTTATGTAGGTATACCAGACTACCCTGAACAGACTTATATACTCTCAGTCTCCCACTCCATTACAGCAATTATCTGATTTTTTACTATCATCCACAAACCCTTCCAAATTAGTTTGCTGAGACAGTAATACTGTATCCTTGCATAATTTAATCCCACAGTCTAGCAAATTGTCTAACACATGCTGAGTGATACAGTTTATCTTTAAATGCTTACAGAGAGTCCTCTTCCTGAAAAGATGGAGTAAGCACACATTACCCTGTCCTTCCCATAAAATGCAGCTATAAAACTAGGACACAATGCATGGAACAGCTATTTGAGAATCCTGAAAAGTAGGAGAACTAGAGAAGACCAGTATTCAAACTAGGTTTACCATTTTCCCATCCTTTGGCCTAGATTAGGATTTACAAGTGGGCATCTGCAGTGTGCCCCAGAAGCCCTCTAGTTCTGTCTCAAGGATCAGGAAGGGAGTCTATTGGGGTCTTCTAACACTCAGGAGACAGTGGCGAAAATTTCTCTTTCCTTCACTTCGTTCTCTCACACCACGGTTGTAGCAGTTTTAGACCATAGTCTAAAACTCAAAGGAGTAAGACTATTCTTCTCCAATTACAAGAGCTGTGTGTTCCCAAGAGTAAGGCCAACCTCTGCTGCTTCTTCTGTCTGTCCTCTAGCTGCTTGGTACCAGATACTGGCACTCACACTGAGTGGTTTTCTGGCCATGAAACCAAAAAAAGAGCCCTGGAGACCTAAGAAACACAAGGGAGACAGGAGAGAGAGAGAGAGAGCAGCTCAGGAAAATGGCCCTATAAAATCGTTTATGACTTTGGGGCTCAACCCTGAGCTACACATGCTATGATTCAACTACAAACAGATCATAGTCTTTTGAGAACTAAACTACAATATAAACCACTGCCCAAATCACATACTGGCCACTGCATGGCACACACAGGAAAACAGCATTGCATAACCTAGTCCTCTTTTATCTAGTTATATTTAATGTATCTCCATGTCTCAAAAAAAAAAAAAAAATCTATTTTTTCAGTTTGGAACATTTTCTACAGACTTCCACTATAAAAGATGAGAAATTAACTCTATGTTCACTTCCATCCCATATACCTTTCTCATCTTTACATTCTCCCAACAAAATTATAGTTTTTGCTAGTTTCTAAACTCTGGCACTGTTGACACTCCGGAACACATAATCCTATGTTAAAAGGAGCTGTCCTGAGCATTGCAGGATGTTTGGCAACATCCCCATCCTCCACCCATTAAATGTCAACGGTACTGCCCACCAAACTGTGACCCAAAAATGTCTCCAGGTACTGTCAAATATTCCCTGAGGGGAGCAAAATCACTCCCAGCTTATAATTATTGGGTTAGATGAAAACTCATGCCTGTAATCACAGCAGGAGGCTGAGGCCGATGAATCATGAGGTCAAGAGATCAAGACCATCCTGGCCAACATGGTGAAACTCCATCTCTACTAAAAATACAAAAATTAGCTGGGCTTGGTGGTGCATGCCTATAGTCCCAGCTACTTGGGAGGCTGAGGCAGGAGAATCGTTTGAACCTGGATGCGGGTATTTTGCAGTGAGCTGAGATCACACCACTGCACTCCAGTCTGGTGACAGAGCAAGACTCTGTCTAAAAAAAAAAAAAAATTCAGCCTTTACATTGCAATGACTGAAATGCAATTCACAACAAAGCATGTGAAGGCACACCTGATTATTTTCCTGCACAATTCCTTGTTTTCTACATAATTAGTAAATGCTGTCACTGCCTTTGCTTCATTTTCTCTACACCTGTCACTAATTCAATCTTCCACTAGTTTCCTACACTTCTTTCTCAGTTCTTTCTCAGGGTGTTAATTCTGTTAAGTAATGAGAAATAAGCTGCGCCAAGGTGGCTCATGCCTGTAATCTCAACATTTGGGAGGCCAAAACCAGAGGATTATTTGAGGCAAGGAGTCTGCAACCAGCATGGGCAACATAGTGAGACCAACACTCACTATGTGAGTGGCAAAAATTTCCTTTTTCTCCATTCTATCACACCACAGCCCCTAAGCAATCCCATCATAGTTACAAAGGTGGTAGCAATGGGAACCCACAGTCTAAAACTCTAAGGAATAAGAATATTCTCCAATTACAAGAGAACCATCTCAACAAAAGAATTTAAAAATTAGCCAGGCATGGTGGCATACATCCGCAGTCCTAGCTACCGGGGAGGCTAAGGCAGGAAGATCACTTGAGCCCAGGTGTTCAAGGCTGCAATGGGCTATGATCATGTCACTACACGCCAGCCTGGGTAACAGTGAAACGCTGTCTCAAAAATATAGATAGATAGATAGATAGATAGATAGATAGATAGATAGATAGATAGATACAGATATATATATATATATTTTTTTTTTTTAATTAAGAAATAAAAACAACACTGGAGTAGCAAATGAAAGAAAAAGCATCTTAATCCGGTTTTTAGGAATTGCAATATGGGAGACATAAATCTAGCAAGCAGCTAAACCATGTTCCAGCCAGGCAAGGTTAGACAGAGCTTTTAAGGGCTACTGTAAATTTACATATCTGGAAGGTTTTAGCACAGTCCATGATTAATGATGGCTAGTTGTCAGCTTAGAATGTCTATAGTCAATGATCATTGTAGTTGGGCATGGTTATTTCTCCAGGAGGTTGATCAAGCCCAGTATATACAGCTCAAATCAAATGCAGCTAGTTTTACACTTTGGCCCAGTTCAGCAAGTGAAACTCCATCTGGATGTGTATGTGACTGGGGTCCAATTCCTTAAGCCCACCTGGCTCCTTTTCGGATACAACCATCTCCATTGTGATTTTTTTCACAATTCAGATCCATCAGTTTCATCTTGAAGACTTTTAGTCTTTTTTTTTCAATGGGCCTCTCTTTTATTTGGCGACAAGCAAGTGCAAGAAAGTTCATTTGTAATTTGTTCAGTTGTATGTCTTTTGTACATCTGCATTCTGACCAGAAGGAACTTTGAGGTTTTTCTGCAGCACATGAGCATCTGTGGGCTCTATCCTCTTATAGTAGTTCTTTTTTGTCTCGATAATCTCAAAGCCAAACTTCCTGTAGAACTCAATTGCCAACTCATTGCTGATCTGGGCATGCAGATAGACGTTGTCAAAAGTACCATCTTTTTCACAGATGTTTAAGACATGATTTAACATTTTAGTTCCTATTCCTAGCCTTCAGTAAGGTGCCAGACATCCTAGTGTCATGATGTAAAGTCTCTTCTGGTTCTGTAAATGATCCAACCTACAGCATACCAGACCTACAGCAATATCATTGAAACAGGCAAGTTTTGCTAGCTCGCCAACCTCCAGCACATCCTTGTAGAACTTGTCATTGTAGCTGACTGGAAAGACGGCCCGATTCAATCTTTTCAACTATTTAATATTGTGTGGTGTCACATCTCCCAGCTCGATCCGGCTACCTTTCATCTTCCCCGCCTGCTGAGGCCGTCGTCGCCGCCCTCAGGTCTCCGTGCCCTCAGCTCAGACCACTCAACCCCACAAGCCAGCCTCCTAGCCAGGGCAAGGAGCTGAGCTAGCGACGAAGGCCTCGAGAGTTGAGGGAGGGCCTAAATCTCTGGTGGGGGCGGGGATGTCTCCCACCACCGCGCAGGTCCCGCAGCTTCCCCACACGTGCACTCGGGTCTCTCGACTTTTAGTCTTATGATCTGTTCTAGTCTAAACCAGTTGTCCTCTACACCCGCTACACATCTGTCACCACTACGCTGACCTTTCACTAGCATCCTATAGTTCCCTAGGCATTTATCCTACAGAGGTCATGTTTCTTTTATTTTTCTCTTCATCCTCCCTAATTTACTTCCTTGTTTTTATGAAGTACATCCTCACATATCTTGTGGAGGAAGGATGCAAAGGAGGAATAAATATTGAGATACTGTACATCTGAAAATGTCTATCTTCACATTTGATAATTTGGGTAGAGAATTCTAAGTTGGAAATGATTTTCTTTCAGTATTTTCAACAGTGCTCTCTCATTTCAACTTCCAATTTTGATATTGAGAAGACTGGTCCAATTTTGATATTGAGAAGACTGGAGCCATTTAGTTTTTTTTCTTTCTGCTCTAATTCATGCCAAGGACAAAAGCCATTCAGATTCTTAATGCATTGTATATGACTTTTTTTTCAGTCTGGATGCTTCTAACATCTTCCTTCTGTCCCCAATGCTGTGAAATTCTGCAGTGTCTATTTTTGATCCACAGCACTGTCATTCCATAAACCATATGTACCTGGAAACTCACATCCTTCAGTACTCAAAGGTCTCATAAGTCAATCCTATATGAGTCTTTATGTTCCTGTATGCCTTACCAGGGATGACAGTACATGCCTAAAATTCCGGCTACTCAATTTCAGCTACTCAAGCCCAGGAGTTCAAATCCAGCCTGGTCAACAATGCAAGACCCCATATATATATATATATATTTTTTTTTTAAAAGCTCCCTATATTAATTACATTAATTTTGCTTTTCATTTTTTCCCATTCTCCTCAGCCCTGCTCTGCTGAAATGTTGAAATTTTAACTGCCAGCTGCAACTGTAATACTGCTTTAGGGACTTGTGGAGAAAGGGAGGGGACTTGTAGCATAGGGTTTTAACTTTCAGAACCAAGGAATCTATTTACTCTATTTAAGAAGTGTATTAGTCTGACTTTAAGAGAAACCCAAACTCCACCATTTTTTGGTAACATCTTGGGTTTCTGAAGAACTTCAATCTGTAATTGGCATTCAGAATGCCCTTGGCATGCCAGTCCATATGATGGCATTTAAGACCTGTGAAGGCCGGGCGCAGTGGCTCACACCTGTGATCCTAGCACTTTGGGAGGCCAAGGTGGGGGGATCACCTGAGGCCAGGAGTTCAAGACCGGCCTGGCCATCATGGTGAAACCCCATCTTAAAAAAAAAGACCTGTGAAACACTCGGGCCCAACTTGATTAACCAAAACTGACAACCACCACCTCTATCTTTTAAAATCTGATTTTTATTAAAAAAAATGAAAAACCCTCAAGTGTAAGAGCTAGCTCCCTACTCACATAAAGAAGCCTATTAATGAATAAACCCCTCAACTGTCTGATCATTAACATAAAAAGGGAACAAAAAATCACCTACCATCTAAGTGAAGCATGACAAGAAAAAAAAATTTAACTGACCCTGACAAAAACCTAATTGAGGAACCATAAGAAAACAGGGGTGAGGGTCGAAAGGTTGAATTATTATCCTAAAAGAAATTTAGAAGAGACTATTCCTTTTTCAGAACAACTGTATTTTTCCTTTTTTAAATGTACAATAAGTAAGATCCCTTGGTGGGGGAAAAAAACTATCATTACTATAACCAATAGAAGCAGTGGAAAACAGTATTGAGGATATCACCTAGACACTGGTACTCAAAATCTGGACCCTAGACCATGTGGGAACGTAAGTGTGAAAAGAGAAACAGGTATTTCAGACATTAAAGGACTCAGTTTACTTCCTAATGACCCCCAAAAGAAATTAACTTAAAATGTACACAAGCAAAACAATAATGAAAACCAAGAAAAGATAAAACAGGAGATTCAAGAAAGAATAAGTACCACCTTAGAGAGTTGTGAAAGTGAATTCTAGTATGCCAGTTGCTTGGCAAGTCTAGGGAGCAACCAGTCCAGACTGGACTAGGAGGATGGAGGTCCCCAAGAATGCAGTCTAAAGGGAAAAAAGGATTCTGTAGAAAGTATGAATGAGGATAAAATAAGGAAGCAGATGAGAAGGGGTGAAAAAAGCAGCTAGAAACTTTGGACATGTTGGAGAGAGGAGTACACGTACAACAGAATCACAGCCCAAATGTGAAGCAAAAACGCCAAAGTTAGAATAGAAAGCCAACTGCCCCCCCCCCTCAACAAAATGGATTTCAAGAACAGCCAGAAGCAGCCAGGAGCAATGGCTCCCACCTGTAATCCCAGCACTTTGGGAGGCCAAGGCAAGTGGACTACGTGAGGTCAGAGTTCAACACCAGACTGAACAACACACAGTGAAACTCTGTCTCTACTAAAAATATAAAAAATGGCATGGTGGCAGGCGCCTATAATCCTAGCTACTCGGGAGGCAGAGGCAGGAGAATCACTTGAACCCGGGAGGCAGAGGTTGCAGTGAGCTGAGACTGTGTTACTGCCTCCAACCTGGGAAATAGAGCAAGACTCCGTCTCAAAAAAAAACACTAGAAGGCATCAGGCAATAATAATGAAAGCATATATTTTTTATCCCCAAAGAAAAAACTAAATGGTAACATCACTTTGACCAATTTGTAGAATGAAGAAAGGAGAATTCATTCAGGTATCCTGCAAGACACTTACAAAGGGATCTTGACTATGCCCCGATGGAAAAGAAACTAGCCACTGCAGACTTGCCTCTACTGTAAAAACTATGTACCTATTTACACTGTATTATTATTGTTCAGCTTTTACAATAAATAGTACAAAATATAACAGACTTAACTTTACAAAATGGGATATAAAGATTATCAATCTCAATTTTTTTAAAGTTCATCTGGATAGAAGCCAAGGGAATGGACAAAGAAAAAAAGAGGCACTAGTCATCTCACCTTATCAAACAGAGACTCAAGAAATACTGTTAGTAAAAAAAAAAAAAGAGAAATATAATTTTAAGTATATTAAAGTCACAAAGGGGCCAGCATGGTAGTTCACACCTGTAATCTCAACATTTTGGGAGGCTGAGACAGGAGGATTGCTTCAGGCTATAAGTAAGTTTGAGACCAGGCTGGGCAAAGATCCCAGCTCTACAAAAAGAAAAAAAAAAATTTTTTTTTAATACCTGGGCATGGTGGTACATGCCTGTAGTCCTGGCTCCTCAGAAGGCTAAACCAAGTGGATAGATAGCTTGAGCACAGAAGTTGGAAGTTACAGTGAGCTGTGATCATGCCACTGCACTCCAGCCTGGGCAATGGGGCAAGACCCTATCACTTAAAAAAAAAAAGAAAGAAAGAAAAATTATAAAATCAGAAAGGTAAACAATGGAACAATTTAAAATCCTGATACAGGCATATGAGAAATAGGATGGGGACAATAGTGGGTGTGGTAAACTGAACTCTCACCTAGCATCTACCAAATTGAACCAAATCCCCAATTCAATAACTAAATTTATAACAAGAAACTGGCATATTTTAAAATATTGAGGTATCCGTCAGAAGAATACACACACACCCCCCCCCCAAAAAAGTCAATGCCCCAACAGGAATAGAAAACGGCAAGGTAAGAAACTAAGACTGTTGCCTGTCATTTATAAATCTGTCTGTACTCTAACTTTCAAAACCATGCACATGATTACATATTTTTAATAGCAAAAAGCTGACTTAAAAGAAAAAGCTGATGTATGATAATTAAACATCTAATGCGGTCATTCTGTGAATGCTTTTGATCTGTTTTAAAGATTTAAAAGTACATATACATGTATATATTAATAGCTGAAATAAAATACCTTCAACTACAATTTGTTATGGGAAAACTGCATCACGCAAAATGTTATTTTCTCAATGTTCCTACAGATACAACATTAGCCCAAGGATTGCAATTAGTAGAAAATGTTCCAGATGAATTCAACACTAAAATGGCTAGCTGAAGATGAGCACAAATTATTTAATTAACCTACACTATCACCAAAATAGCAGCAGCACAAGTTGCCAGAAAATACCTTTCTCCTTTTAACACTAGTGTGGCCTTAGGCCTTACTATACCCAATTCTTCAAAGGGCTTAAAAAAAATTCCAAGCATTTCTTTGAAGCAAATAAACTGTAGTTTTCAGTTTCTACTTTAAAAACATGCTTTTCAATTATTTAATAAACTAGTTTAAACAGTATTTAAAAATTCTGTATTTGAGTTTTAATGTTAAAATCATGGTACATCAAAAACAAGTATCACCATAAAATGCTGCAGATTTACCTTTACACATACGTTTTAAATTATGAGGCAGTTTTTGTTCACTAAAATACTGAAAGACAAGACTCAGGCCAGGCACAGTGCCTCAAGCCTATAATCCCAGCACTTTGGGAGGCCGGGGGGGGGGGGGGGGGGGGGGGGGGGATCACTAGGTCAAGAGATCGAGACCATCCAGGCCAACATAGTGAAACCCTGTCTCTAAAAAATAAATTAATTAATTAACTAATTAAAAAAAAAAGACAAGACTCTTTCCTTCCTCTCCTCTAATTCCACTCCACTCAGAAGCCAACCAGTGTTATTAGTTTGGTGCATATTCTTTCCGCATACAAATACATATACATATTATACCCCCCCAGCCACACACACTCACTGTTAAAAATTTAACAAAAGGCACCAAGGGACTAAATAAGTATCTCACTCAGTATACTGTGTATGTCTTTTTAATACACAAACATTTTCCCTCACTTTACTGTGTGCTAGTTGCCTGAGGAACTTATAATAGCTGGACGATATTCCAACAAATGAAATGTTAAGAGTAAAGCATCTGAAAAAATAACACTCTGCCTTAGATTATGAGCAGTCTAATGGTTACAAAGTCACATCTTGAAAATTTAAGTCTCCTGCTTTAATTTTTCACATCAAAAGGCAAGATTTAACAGAAACATAATTTATCAAAAAACAAAATAACACATTAAAAAAAACTTTCTAAATACAGTAACAAGCAACAGAATTGGGGCAAAAAATGAAGGGAGTAAAAACAAACATCTAGATGGAATTCATAAATCAAGAGTTACATAAAAAAGAACAAAGAAGTCCAGAAAAATTAACCTCAAATTCAGCTTCATTTGTACAGAAGTTTACCAAATTCTAAGTGTAAACAATTTTTTAACCCACAATCAAAAGCTTGAATCAGTAACATTAAAAATCTTTCAATTAATTAAAGCTATAAATAGCAACTTGAAAATGGCATTTATTTTAAAACCTGAAGTTTTGAGAAATGGTTATTTAGTTTCATTATTAAAGCTAACCCTAATTTTTAAATAGATCATATCCTTATTTATACAGCTAAAAAACAGTAACTGCAAAAAGAAATTTCTTGAAAGGAAACAAATGTTACTTCATTCAGAAATATTTGTATAATAGTGTAAACACACTCACTGGGAAACCAAGTATCTTTAACACTTGACAGGTGTTTAACATATTTTTTACAAAACACAACATAATTATATCGTGAATAGGTTCCATACACAAAATCATAATAGCTGACACCACTTCTTTGAATGATGTAATCCTAGATAACGTGCAAATTAACCTCAATACTAGTAGGAAGACTCTGATGTCTGTAAAACGTTTAAGATTACCTCCCCTTTTTCTACATCGGCTCTTCTCCCCATTAACCCACAGCTAATTACTGCTCACCTTTCTAAATACTTACCTTCAATTTTTTTCTAACTATAAAACGCATACCCATTAAAAAAAATCTTAGAAACAAAAAATAAAGATCACAATCTTATAATCCCACTATTGGTTCATGTGCTTCTAGTCATTTATCAACATACACATATCAAATTTCCTTTTTTTTTTTTTTTTTAACAAAATTTGGGACAAGAAACCAAATGCCTTTTCAGTGGTTCATGTGAATCTACCATAATTCAAAAATTATAAATCTACCATCACCAAAGAAGTACACCACCATTCTTATTAGGTGTAAAATTAGGTTATTTACTTCTCTGCATGTACTTCTGTGAGGTAAATGTTAAACTTATTACATCCTCTGCTTGTAGTAAGTTTACAGGAGAGAAAAAGCACAGGCACCGTTAAAAAAAAAAAAAAAAAAAGGAATGTTTCAAATCTTGATTTTGTCAATTAGGATAAATGTCACCTAACTTTGTTACGTAAATTACAAAGTTTCTGAATCTGTCTGCGCAGATGAAGATGAAAAATACAGTTAAATGCACCTACCAAACAGGGCTGAGGATTAAATAAAACAATACATGTGTAGTGCCTGGTCCACAGCAGAAACTCCAGGCCGGGAGCCATGGCTCACGCCTATAATCCCAGCACTTTGGGAGGCCGAGGCGGGTGGATCACGAGGTCAGGAGTTTAAGACCTACTGAACTATCTGGCCAGGATGGTGAAACCCCGTCTCCACTAAAAATACAAAAATAGCTGGACGTGGTGGCGGGCGCCTGTAATCACTGCTGTTCAGGAGGCTGAGGCAGAGAATGGCTAGAACCCGGAAGGGGAAGGGTGCAGTGAGATGGCGCCACTGCACTGCACTCCAGTCTGGGCGACAGAGCAAGACTGTCTGGGGCAGGAGGTACCTCCACAAAAGCAGTTCTTTCCTTCCCATTAAAAAAAACAGCGTGAAGGAGATATAACTACTAAAAGCTTGCCTTTTAAAACATAAACACTGTTAGTGTGTGCGAAAAGGTGTTTTTTATCAGAACTTTTACTCATTTGTAATCTAAATTTACTTCACAATCCACACACACTTGGCGACAACTCAGGGTATCATTGCACCCCAAATTTTACCTTCGGAAAAGAAATGTTTTTAAGTAACATACACGTGTCTGGCTATCTGAAATCAGAGTTGACAAATACTTCTGTGAAGTATATACCCTGAGTTAAACCCCGCGGTTGATAATTTCCTTTTAAATAGTATAATCAAGGATAAAAAGAAAAGCAGCTCTAGACTTTTCCCCTCTCTCCCCTAAAGACAAATCTAGGATGTGGAAGAAAGTAATTCCTTATAGGAATTTACAGAGAATGCCGTAGACAACACGCAGGCGTCAGAGTAAGTCCGAAAATTGCTCCTTGCGCAGGTCCACGCACCTGGGATTCTTGGGGTCTTCCTTCAGAATGGGGGAATGAGAAGGGGTGGGGGGGTGCTACACGGTGTGGGAAAGTCACAGAAGGAGAAAAAACAATGGGAGAGGGAGGCGGCGGCGAAAAAACGCTAAGACTCAGGCTCCGGCGAAGTGGCTGAGCCTGCAGGAAAGCAAAATAGTTGGGTAACTTAAAAAATGAGGAAATTCCGCGTGTTCCGCGGGGAAGGATGGAGGGCCGTGAGAAACAGGGAGGCTGCGACGGAAAGAGAGGGGCGGTGTCGTCGGAGAGCAGGGTCGACGGTGGAAAGCAAGCAGTGGCGGGGACGGAAAGCCAGGACCTGGACGTGGGCGGGGGAGGAGACCGGAGGCCTCTGGGGGTCGGCGAAACTGAGAAAACCTGGCGGGGGCGAAAGGGGGTCGGGCAGCGCGTTACCTGCAGAGATCGTCCAGGACGCTGCCGGGAATCTCCACCCGTTTGGTCTCCATGATGAGGACCCACAGCAGGAACAGCGCATCCCGGCTCCGGGCGGCCGGGGACTGAGGATACTGAACGAGGACTCCGGCTCGCCTGAGAGCCAGCAGACGAGACAGCCGCGGCAAAGCCGACTCCAACGCAGACGAGAAGGGGAAGGGGCGGGACCCGCTCACTTCCGTCCTGCTCCCTCAGCCTTAGACCCCGATACTGGGCCAAGGCTCGGGGCGGAGCCAGTGGAGTCACGCCCTTGCTCGCTTGAAAGGTCCAATGGGAAGCTGAAGAGTTGTGAGCCTAAGCACTCTAAGCCAATGAGTCCTTTGTTTATTGGTCCGCTACTTCCAATCCGTCTTTAAGCTGCTCTGTTGCTATTCAGAAAACCAACTTCCCGCCGCCTTTGGGGTGGCTAAACGCATGCGCACCATGCCTCCTGCGCGCTTCTAGGAAGTTTGGAGGGCTCGGGGCTTTAGTGTGGAGGGCTCGGGGCTTTAGTGTGGACCTCAAGACACACATCCGGGTCTTTAGCATGTTCTGAAGGACCTCGTGGTGACTGAGCAGTCGCTCGTTCCTCTTCAGGGCCGACCCTGTTTAACACAAGAGTGTATTCGTGATTCCTGTCACCAAGTATCTTATCGCTGCCCCCACCAACTCCAGGAGAAGAGCTGTGCCTCTTCAAGTACAAACCCCTGGAGAGGTGGTTCACCTCTGTCCTTCCTGGGGCACCTGGTTCCAAGTATGAAGGACTTTATGTCCGTATCTGGAACCTAGTGAAATCTCAGCAAATATTGATTTAACCTGAACTCTGATCTGCGTTCCACCCCCTGCACAAACCAACCCCAACCTGCTTGTCCTTATTCATTCCTCATCTTGCTTAATGGCGTCCAATCCCTTTGGATTATTCGGAGAAACTGGATCCATCTGTTTTTCGTCTTACATCAGACCCACAGGCCCACACACACCTGCTCCATCACAAGTTTAGTCTGTTCTACCATTTAATCTCCCATCTTTTGTCTAAATTTGTAAATGCCACTGTATACCTCAGTTTTGCATCCTTTCTCCGTACTACAGCAAGAGGTGCCCAACCAGTGACCCTGCCTCCATTCTTGGCCTGTGCAACTGCCTATGTTTTGTTTTGTTCTATTCAGATATGAACAAGTTATCTTTTCAGCTTCTGCTGTATGATGAAGCCCAAGCTCTCTTAGCACAAAAGGCCTCTCACCATCTGTTTTGCTACTCTGTTTTCCACCTCTTTCTTGGAGACTTCCTCAAATTTATCTTCCAGACACCTACAGTTTTTACTTTTTCAGAGTTCTCTTTTATTCTTCAAATGTCCCTTTCTTGTGGTGTCATATTCTTGCTTCATATATTTTATCCTTCTGAGGATATTAATAATAGATTTTGACATATTCTTCTCCCTGTTTAGTCTTACTCCTCTCAGCTGCTTTTTGCTGTTATATTGGTCTCATCTATCCTATTAGAAGCTTCTGTAGTCCTTGACTATTCACTTATACTTAAGAGTAAGGCCTTAACTTGGAGTCAAGTGCCTTGGAAGCTAATTGGAAGCTCACAGCTTGTAGGTGGGACTTGTTTCCTGAGAGCTTCACTGGAGGATGATCTGGCTGAGCTGTTGGTTGGGAACACATGGCATCAGTGTCTGTACATAATTCTCTCCTACTGATCAAATTCCCTAAAGAAAAAAATGCTTGCAGGCACAGCTTCAAGTATTCTGGGAGTCCGGTACAAAGCACGAGCTTCAGTATTCCATTTGCTTTATTCAGTTCTCCTAGTGCAGTCCAAGTTTTATTTTAGATTTCCTAAGAAACAGGCACTGAGACAAGGTTTTGAGTGCAGATAGCCTATGAGGGAGGTGACCCTGGGAAACACTGGTAGCAGAGCAGGAAAGCGAATCAGGGAAGGGAAGAAATCCAAAGGGTTTATTATCAAGGAAATTAGCGCTGTGGTTAACTGGAGCTTACTATCACTGGAGAACTCTGGAGGCCAGAGTAAAACATATACCTCAGAGTTACCCCACTCAAAGACTGAGGGAGATGGGGATTTATATACCAACTTCCTTCATTGGCTGAGGGCAGCTCCTGGGGCCTGCACTCCAGCTTACTACATGGGCAGCAAGATGGGCTCTGGTGGCCAGAAAAAGCCCTCGGGCAAAGAAATGCAGATGCTAGCAGTTGAACATCCAGCCATTGTAGTGAATAGATTGATAAGGGTAAGAGTGAGCCCCTTCAGTTCTATTTTGCTGGGTGTGCATTCTACCTGTTTTGACTAAATGTCTTTTCTCTGACTGGGGGGCACTATAATGGTTTTCTTCGTTGTCTCACTTAGAGCTCAAGTCTAGTCTTTAGAGTACTCTAAATGATGGCAGTGAAACAATAGTTCAAGGCAAAGTGGTGCTTACCCACGTGGGCCAATAGTATATTAGTAGAAACAAGCAGGTCACCAGGCACTTGCTAAAGCAAGTCTTCCTACTACCTTTCGAGTCTCCGAGTTTAGGGTCAGCTATACAACTCCTCTTTGGCTCTTAGGGGCCAGAAGTCCCCAAACTCTCATATAGTGCTAAACCAATCTGCCTTAGTAAGAGTTTCTGGCCAAGCACGGTGGCTCATGCCTGTAATCCCAGCACTTTGGGAGGCCAAGGCAGGTGGATCACAAGGTCAGGAGTTCAAGACCAGTCTGGCCAACATAGTGAAACCCTCTCTCACTGAAAATATAAAAAATTAGCCAGATGTGGTGGTGTGCACCTGTAATCCCAGCTACTTGGGAGGCAGGTGAATCAAGTGAACCTGGGAGGCAGAGGTTGCAGTGAGCTAAGATCACGCCATTGCACTCCAGCCCAGGTGACAGTGTGAGACTCTGTCTAAACAAAAAAAGTTTCTGGCCAGCCACGGTGGCTCACACCTGTCATCCTAGCACTTTGGGAGGCCGAGGTGGGCAGATCACGAGGTCAGGAAATCGAGACCATCCTGGCTAACACAATGAAACGCCATCTCTACTAAAAATGCAAAAAATTAGCCGGATGTGGTGGCACTTGTAATCCCAGCTACTGGGGAGGCTGAGGCAGAAGAATTACTGAATCCATGAGGTGGAGGTTACAGTGAGCTGACATCACACCATTGCACTCCAGCCTGGGCAACAGAGTAAAACTCTGTCTCAAAAAAAAAGTTTCTGTGATGTCTGTAGTCCAAGATATTATCTTGCCCACATCCCATCCCTCCACTGCCTCCCCACACACAGATTTCCAGGAGCTAGACTAGTGCAACCCTTATAGCAGCCCTCCCAGCCATGGCTTCCAAAGAACCCAAGTATATGGTAGAGGCACCTGACAGCAGTAACTTAAGTATACCCAAGGAAATGACTCTGTATGGCAGACAAGCTGAATGTGTTCGCAGTTCCAAGTGGGGACAACCAAGACTCATTCCTTATCTATGAGGAACATCTGAGCCCTGTAAAATGCAGGCCGTACAGGAGGTCTAGGCCTTTGTTTTGGGCTAAATGAAGGTTGCCAGGTGGAAGCTGTTAGTGAGAGGGCGCTAAATGAAAATGCTATATAAACTGCATGCTTTCTGCAGGTGGTGTGGATCTCGTGTCCAGCCCACTGCCAGTGGACCACTCTGTATGCAAGTTTCCCCTCAATAAACCATATGACTCATTTGCTGCTCTGGGTCTCTTCTTCAGCCTCTTGAACCTGGTGCCATCCCTATTAAAGTTAATAGGAACACCAAGGCCTCAATTCCATCCAATTGTTCACAGGATCCAGGTGATAAGAATAACAAGGTGGAGCTTGGAGTTGAGGGAGCAAGAGAACAGGAGATGGTAGGATTCTTAAAGTATGATACTCATTTGATTTTTAAATAATTGGGTTGATTAAAACCTTTATAGTTTTAAAATATGCTATTTCATTTAGTCATCTTCTTCTTTTTTTTTTTGGAAAAGGATCCCACTGTGTTGCCCAGGTTGAAGTGCAGTGGCACTATCATAGCTCACTGTAACCTCTAACTCCTGGGCTCCATCTTCCACCCCACCCTCCCAAGTAGCTAGGAGTACATGTGCACACCACCAGGCCTACCTAATTATTTTTTTAAAAAACTTTGTAGAGACAAGGTTTCACTAGGCTGCTTATGCTAGTCCTAAACTCCTGGCCTCAAGCATTCCTCCTGCCTCAGCTTCCCAAAGCACTGGGATTACAGGCATGAGCCACCGTGCCTAGCCTCATTTGGTCTTTATTACTACATGAAATAGAGATTAATGAGGCTTATAAAGATTAAATGACTCAAACATTAATGATTAAGTGACAGTATATAATAGAGTCAGAACTAGAATTCAGTTCTAAAGTCATAGGAAGAATTCTGCCTTAGGGAGAATGACACAACAATTATTTTCTGTCTGTACAGCAAATTATAGTATAAAATTTAAGTATAATAATCTTTTTTTTTTGAGACCGAGTTTCGCTCTTGATACCCAGACTGGAGTGCAATGGCGCGATCTTGGCTCACTGCAACCTCCGCCTCTGGGTTCAGGCAATTCTCCTGCCTCAGCCTCCTGAGTAGCTAGGATTACAGGCACGCACCACCGTGCCCAGCTAATTTTGTGTGTTTTTTAGTAGAGACGGGGTTTCACCATGTTGACCAGGATGGTCTCGATCTCTTGACCTCGTGATCCACCCACCTCGGCCTCCCAAAGTGCTGGGATTACAGGCATGAGAAGTATAATAATCTTACAACAAAACAAGCTGTCATTGAATCCTAAAAATATTTTTTTTTACTGCATTTTAGGTTTTGGGGTACATGTGAAAAACATGTAAGATTGTTCCATAGGTACCCATATGGCAATGTGGTTTGCTGCCTTCCTCCCCATCACCTATATCTGGCATTTCTCCCCATGTTATCACTCTCCAACTCCCCACCTCCCACTGTCCCTCCTAGTTCCCCCCCATAGACCCCAGTGTGTGATGCTCCCCTCTGTGTCCATGTGCTCTCATTGTTCAACACCCACCTAAGAGTGAGAATATGTGGTGTTTGATTTTCTGTTCTTGTGTCAGTTTGCTGAGAATGATGGTTTCCAGCTTCATCCATGTCCCTACAAAGGACATGAACTCATCGGTTTTTATGGCTGCATAGTATTCCATGGTGTATATGTGCCACATTCCCTGTCCAGTCTATCATCGATGGGCATTTGGGTTGGTTCCAAGTCTTTGCTATTGTAAACAGTGCTGCAATGAACATTCGTATGCATGTGTCCTTATAATAGAAGGATTTATAATCCTTTGGATATATCCTCAGTAATGGGATTGCTGGGTCAAATGGAATTTCTATTTCTAGGTCCTTGAGGAATCACCACACTGTCTTCCATAATGGTTGAACTAATTTACACTCCCACCAACCGTGTAAAAGTGTTTCTATTTCTCCGCATCCTCTCCAGCATCTGTTGTCTCCAGATTTTTTAATGATCACCATTCTAACTGGCATGAGATGGTATCTCGATGTGATTTTGATGTGCATTTCTCTAATGACCAGTGATGATGAGCATTTTTTCATATGTTTGTTGGCCTCATATA